TACGTCCCGTTATTGAGTGGCTGTAGATTGCCTCATCATCCAAACAAATACCAAAGGGCAGCGATATAAGAATAGTTTTTTATAGGTTAAACCTTTATTTTGCTCCCTCAACTATTGTATAAACCTTTGATTTAGTCTCTCAATTTAAAAAATTCTTGATTTAATCTCTACTGTTTACTATTTTTACCCAATTTGATCCTTCCGCTAAATTTTTGTGGACATAACATGTTAACTAACGATAGGGGCATATCTTTTTTTAATAAATAAAGACGCGACATTTATAATGTAGCAAAATACATGACTTGCCAAAAAAAAATTATCTAAATAATCTTTAAACATAATAAAATGACTATATTACCCTTATCTTCAACCTCTAAAATCTAAATCCTTACATTTTCTCTCTCCCTTCCCCAACACCAAATCTGGGTTCTCTTTCCTCTTCCCTTCCTTTTCCTTTTGCAAAGCCTTATACTTTTCTTAACTATTTGAGATCCCTAAGGCGAAGCAAGGAAGCAGAGCCAAGAACTTTGAACCTAGTAGTTGCTGGGTTCAATTGAATCTAACAACTGTTGTTGGGTTCCTTTGAACCCAATAGCTATTGGGTTCAAAAACTTTACTAGGTTCGAACCCACTGTACCTAGTGCTTGGTTCGGACCCAATAGCTGTTGGGTTCAAAAGAACCCAGCAACTTTTCTCCTTTTTTCTTCTTAAATTTGAAATCTTGAAACAAATTTTGTTTCATGGATCTTGTTTGTTAAGAGAGAAAACATGATGATTGATAAAGAAGATCTGGGTTTGAGTATTAGTTTGAGTTTTCTTCAAATTCACTATTTTTTGCAGTTGAATCTTTCATTGTCTTCTCCCCCTAGGTTTTGCATATGTCTCCTTTTTGTACCCATTTTTCCTCTATTTTCCAGAGAAACAAATAAAGCTTTAAAAAGTTTTCTTTTTTATCTTTTTATTTTTTAGGTATTAATTTAATAATTTCTTCATTTCTTTGAAGATGTTTTTAACAATCGTTTTTGCTACTTTTATATAAAAAAGCCATATTAAAATTTGTTATTAAAAAATTATTATTAAATTATTTAAATTTAAAAATTATGTATGAATTGATATGTATTTTTTGAAATAGTTATTTTTTATAAGAATTAGTATAATGTTAAATTATATATTATATAAAATATTACACATTACGCTTAAGGCTCGTTACGGCCCTAGATAAGCAAATAGGATAGAAGAAATTTTTTGTGTGATACAATTGTAAGGCTTAAGTGTTGTACATAACTATTGAATGTTAAAATTTAACTATTTACTTAAATTAATAAATTTATTTTTTCAATCAACTTAAATCAATAAATTAAAGGGCAAAAGTTTATATGTTGTTAAATTAATGAGCAAAACTCTCGTGATTGGTGTAATCCTACCAACACATAAAATAGGTGCTCATGTGACACTAATCATGTTGTGGTTAACAAAGAATTAATATTCATATATTGCACGTGATTATGTGGTATTAAATTTTAGTTTTTTATTCAAAATAAAATGTAAGATAATAAACACCCTTATTTTAAAAAATTAAAGGGCAAAAAACCTCAAAGTCAATTAAATTGAGCAATAAAATCTGAATTTTTATCAATAGGAATTACATAAGAAAATTATTAATTTTTTTTTATGTTTATTAATGTTTTATTCTTCTGAATAAGTAAAATTTGAGATAAAAATATCAAAAACTATTAGGGTTTTTAAAAATGTACCTTAAAGGTTAAAAATTAAAAAAAATAATATTTAATGTTTTAATTAAATTTATCTACATAATATTAATATTTAAATTAATGTTTATTTTTATATTTTTATTAATTTATTATAAAAAAATTATTCTAACATATATTTTAAAAATACAAATTAAAAAAATCCTAACTGTTAATATGATAATGTGATAACTTAAATTTTATTTATTATTAAGTTATTAAATGCATTTAACAACCGTACACATGATTTTTACTTTATGAGTTGGAATTAGTGTCTAAGCTTTTGTTTATGTAACGCCGCCTTTTAAAAGCACAAGTCCCACCGATTTTCTCTCCCAAAGCCTCTGAAACATTTGGACTCAAAAGTCAAAACCCCCACTCCGAGAGTGAAGAAACGGTAACTCTCTCCCTTCTCCCGTGCCGATTAGCCATGGCCGATCCTTTAAAGATCGACGGCTCCGACGAGGATGCAATTCTCTCTAGATCAGAGTTGCTAAGCCGGGAAGAGGTGCTGCGGCGACGCTTGCGGCGGTTGAAACAGCTTGCGAAACTCTACAGAACGCAGTATTGGGCGCTAATGGAGGACCTCAAGAACAAGCATAAAGAATACTACTGGAAGTATGGAAAGAGCCCATTCAAGAAAGACGAGATTAAGGATACCGATTCTGGTGCGAACCAGCAAACTGATGAGGACGGCGGGAAGCTAGGGTCGTCGTCGGTGAAAGAATGTGCTTCGGCGAATTGTAAAAGGAAGGCGATGGCGCTGACAAGGTTTTGTCATTTACATATTTTGGCTGATCCTAAGCAGGTCCTCTACAGGGGCTGTAATTATCCCGTCAAGAGGTTCGGCTTTATGTTCCTCTTCTTCTTTTTTAATGTTTTCATATGTTTATATTTAGTTTTTTTTTTTGTGTATTTTTCTCTAAATTTTTAGACTTTACAAAAGAATCAATTATTAGGACTTGTAATTGATTATAGAATTAGAGGATAGAAAGGAGGAAAGATTTTAAAGAACCCATTCATGGTTTCCCCTCATATTTTTCCAGGAAAGTTAGGAAATTACAGATATTAGTTTGATCTTAGACAAATTGCTGCATAAAGTACCAATTCCTTGTGATTGGCACCGAGTTAAACAAAGGCAACGCCTTAAAAGGAAGGCAATTCCTTGCCATCAATAGAAGGCTGGTAAAATTGTAAATTATAACAGAATACATATTTGTAAATATGAGAAGCGTTTTGGTTGATCATAAGAAAAGGAACTAACTTTTAGAAAGATGCCTTTTCATAAATGATATGAGCAAAATTAGAGCTCTAGGAAAGGCTAAAAGTAAGCAAGCTGAGTTGAATGGGTAGATTATGAAAGTTGACAGACAATGTGATCTAGATAGTGAATTAGGATAGTTAGACAATTTTTAAAAATAAATTTTATCAGAAAAGCAGTTTTATTAGTTTGATGGTGTATTGGATAGATCTATGTTGTCAGCCTCACTTTATATATGTGGGAGGCACATAGTTGCTAACCAACAGACTTACAGACATGCTTGTCAAGAAATTCTTTCAAGAATATGTGGGGGGCATGTAGTTGCCAACACATAAATTCTTGTTGATCCCACTGTATATATATGGGAGGCACATAATTGCCAACTCAGAGACATGCTTGTTAAGACATTCAGTTAGGATTATGTCTGCTTTTCTCTTGCTGGATAGCAACTGCTCTGTGTTTGGTTTGCATATTTTCTTTTTCCTAATGTTCTAGGCTTTAAAGTATACTGTTGCATTTGGTAGTTATACGGAGAGAGTTATCAATCCATCGTTTTATGGCCTTAACTCTGTGGTTCAGAAACCATGAGTTTAATACTTGCTGTTTTATATTTTGATTTTGTTAATTGTACATGCTAGATGTTCCTTTTAATAAATACTCCTAAGCCATTTCCTGTTTGTATTCAGTGGACAGATATGTGGGATGCCAATTTTAAGATCCAGTAATCCTCCACAGTGTCCCACCCATTCTCAGCTGGCTGAACGATATCTTGTACGAGCCCTTAAAAGGGCAGGTCTTAATGTCTCTTCATCAAGTAGGCTTGCTCCCAAGTTACATGTTGTTATTGCTCAATATGTTCACCAAATCCAAGCTAAAAGGAGAGCTGCACAAAGAGCAAATGAAATGAAAATTGAGGTCAAAGAGCAAAAAACCAGTTAAAGCAAAAGATTCTTCTACAGACACCCATTTAGCCAATAGATTTTTTGAGTTCAAAGCTGTTGCCAGTTGGTGAACTTGACAATTTTAAGTCTGGGGTGATTAAGATCACGTTGTGTGCCTTGGAGATTGTTTGTGTATATGGAGGTAGCTTTCTCCTCTTTTCTCATTTTTTATTTTTTATTCAATCAAAGATGATAAATTGATTAAGGTTCCCTGCTTATGAAAACAAATGAGTGCAACTGTAGAACATGGGAAGTATAGGAAGAAATTCTGACTAATGTTGTAACTCTTGATTCACAAAGAGTAAGATGGAGAAATTTAGAAATTTTTTTATTTATTGACACCAAGATGGCCTGCATGTCATGTCCTGTGTGCAATGCATTTCATGTTTGTCTTTTCCTGCTGTGTTGATTTTGTTGACCACAACAATGCCTTTTCTTGGTGGCATAGCATTGTCTGCAACCTGCTTATAGTTGCTGGGATTATAATTTCTATGAGGAGTCCTGAGCATATTCTTATTTTACATGCTTCATTTTCAGTTGCCTTAGCTAATGTTATAAGCATTCAGTATCTTGTGCCTTGGGGGATGCCCCAGTTATTTCAGCATGAACATGGGAGCATGGGATTTCTAAATAGAAGGTTTGAGGTTCAAACATTGGGACAGGCATTTTTGGATTTTGGGAAAGGGGAGGGCTATTCCATGTTATGTAGCCCCCATCTATATGCACATTCATATGTAGAAAAATGAAATTAAAAAGGAAAAATGAAAAAAGAAGAAGAAGCTTTGAAATATCATTTTTGGTCATTATTCCCAATTGACAAGGACTATACTTCCATATTTTAGGACATATTAGTAATTAGAGCTTCACAATGTATAACGGGTATAAAAATGTCAAAGTTTAGCTTAGACAGAAAGAAATGAGCTACTTAAATTTCCTCATTTTTTCTAAGCATAATTCAGCAATATATGATTGCTGTTAAACATAGCCAGATATACGTATGTGGTTGAAATCCAGAATTTATTGGACTGTTTTGTCCTCTCTACTGTGCTTTGTGGACTTTATATATAAATCTATAGTTTTATGGTAGTGACAGGTGCTCATATGGTAGATCTCATGTAATTTGATGAGTCCATTGTTTGAGAAGGTCTTTGAAAACTTAAATCCCCTTTTACTTACTGGGATTATTCGTGAACTTTGAAAACCTAAATCTGACGGTAGATGTATTTTCAGTTGAGACATGGTTTTACTTTGTCAATTTGTGGGGTATTACCATTAGCATATTTCAATGATGAATTTGGTGGAGCCACCAAAACGAAGACTTTGTTATCCTGACTGAGGGACAATGTAGTAGAATGCAGAGAAAGGAGTCTGCACTCTGGATAAGTATTTTGTTTGACCAGTCAGTGTCATTTTGTCTTCCATTACTTTTTTAACATTTTGTAGTTTAGACTTGAATCTCGGATTTCTAGTTAGACAATTACTCTAATAATTTTATATCATGAACTTTTTACCAAGGTAGTTTGTGAGTATGGAAATTGAAAAATGCATGGATATTGTTTACGTCATAAATTGAAAATTTTAAGATGATGCCACGTTAAATCTGTTGTTGGTACCCTTGATAGATCACTTGTCCCATGGAAGGTGGAGTTTGAAAAAATAATGATTCTCTGTTTAATTACCTATTTGAATTGAAGGGGACTAGTTACAACTATATGAGATAATTCAGTTGAAAGATTGACTTGGCAGAAAATAGGGACATGTGGTGAGATTTGGAAAGCACTCTAATCCACTCCGTTGTTGAGGTATCCATCTTCCTTAGGAAAGCACCTATATTTTGCAGCCGCTAGGAAGTGGGGAGTTTCAGGCTTTGAGGGAACAAAGAAAAGTGAATTATTTTTTATCATTCAACACACAACTCTGCACACAAGTCAAGACTGGCTTTAGCACTCGTAGATCTTATTTGCAATCACTCATATTTCAATTTTCAGCACAATTTTTAATAGATTTAGGTTGTTTTCAACATTCAAATAGCCAAAGTAGTTTGTATAGGTACTTTTGCAACTTTCCTTTATGTAATGAACATGAAGTTTTTCAATTTCTGTAAGATATTGCTTCTTTTTTAACTAGTGTTCGTTTAAGGTTTATAGGGGTGTTTGTTTTAATTTTTTCCAGTTGTTGGTTTTAATTAAACAAATAGAAGTGGGCGTTCTGGTGGTTACCCGAAAGGATAACTGATAACTGACAAAAATTTGAATTTCTAATCCGGTTTTGATATTAACTAGTAAGCTTTTCGTTTGCTTTTGGTTTAAAGCTCTATTAACCAAAAACCGATTAGGGCCTCCAAATCAACCAAATTGAGGCCCAATTTTTAGGCCCAAAAGATTCAAAACAAGTAAAAAATAAAAATAAAAAAGAAGAAATAAAAAAACATAAAATCCTAAATCATCAATTCCCCACCGCTGCCTCCACCATTTTTTGATTTTTTCCATCTGCCCTCTCTTAAAAACTTTTCCTCTTCAAGTCACCAACTCCTAATCACGATTTCTTTCCAATCTAGAATAGATTTTTATGATCTTTTTCACAATTACAAAAGATTACATATAAGCTAATCATGTTTTTTTCCTTCCGTTCTCTTCATAATCTTATCTGTCCCTCTCCCTCCTTTTTCATCTTCTCCTATGTTCTCTCTCCATTCTCCTCTTTGTAACAACCACATCGGTGAATACTGAAATAAAAAAAATGAATACTGAAAACTTTAGTATCCAATATTGAAAAAATAGAAAAATTCTGATATTGGTTTCGGTAAAAAAAAAAAAAAGGAGGAAAAATAATCGGTTAGTTACTTTTCAATATCGTGTTTCACCAAAGCCGATATTTGCCCACCCTTACAAATAGGTTAAATATTTTGAATTATAAACTATAATGATCATCAGACATCATATATCAACTATCAATTATGAGCTATATAAAAAAAAGTTAATCCAAATAGCCCCTATGATAAGAAACGTTTCTCTAAATAATTATTTATATGACATTTGCACTTCTTCCTAGTTTTTAGCAAGTTAGTTTAGTCTCTGTTCATATTAGTTTTATGATAATTTAGTCCCAAGTAGTTTAGTTAGCTTAATTAAATTTCTAGTTCTATAATAGTGTAGTTTCCTATCTATAAATCTTAGTTTAATTTGGCAATAAACATGTTTAATTTAATTAAATGTATCTTTTGTTTGCAAGTTTATTTTAATTTGCACTTCATTTAGTTCATTTAAGGTCTATTAACTTTAATTTATGGTTTTGTTTAGCTCATTTTACAGGAAGACTTTCCTCCCTCTAATAAATTATCTAAAGGTGAAAAATTTAACCTTAAACCAATATTCATTTGATTATTCATATACAAGTCAACTATATGAAAGGAGAAAGCCATTGGAAAAATTCATTTTTCTTGCTTTACAGAAAAACAAGTGTCATGCCCTGAATCGTTTAGCACCACGCTTTGCATCCAAATCTATCACGTGTTGCTTTCACGTGTTGCTTTAAGATTTTTAATTATTTAGTGGCATGCCTAGTGTGACCTTATTGTGTCACTTAACATTTTTCAAATCTACCATTTTGGTACCCAAGGAGAGGCGGAACAAATATATAGAGAGGAAATTGCCTTTTAGCATTTAACGTTTATAAGAAAGTTTCGAAGAAAGCAAGGTAATTAGAGAAAAAAAAAACTTGGAATTAAAAAAACACAGTAAGAAAAGAAGAGAGAAAGGAGAGAGAGAGAGAGAGAAAAAAAAAAAACTTGGAATTAAAACAACACAGTAAGAGAAGAAGAGAGGAGAGTTACTATTTCTACTTGGGTTTTATAGTTGTAAGCAATGTTTTGAGAACCGACCAAGTGCTTGACTCATTTTGGGCACTGGGTCTGATTCAACTAGTTGAATAAGTCTAATCGATTAATTCAATCGGTCATATAAAATATGATATTTTTAAATTTTTAAAAAATAAGAAGTGAAACTTAATATTAAAACATATAGTAATTATATAAATATTAAGTCATACACTCTATAATCTTTATTG